AAATCGATATGCAATATCGCTGCACGTGATGAAAAATCGATGAGCACTGTCGCTGTGCACGTCTAAAAGCCACCTTTCATGCGTGCCGCAATCCTCATCCCTCTCGCATCCGTGGCCGTCTTGCCAATCGCCTTGCCCCCTTGGCGTAGGTGCGGGCGGAGATGAAGGGGTTAGAGGATCAGCAACGGGCTTACCGGCAGGAGCGAAAGCAATCTCAACATGAGGAGAAGATGGCGGCCGCGTTGGGTAAGAAGGGGGGAGGATGAGTCAGCGGAGGAAAGACAAAGGTTTCTCGCAGAGGGAACGAAGGGTATGTCGGATGATAAGTATGCTGCGAAAGAGATCAAGCGATCGGCTCATTTTGTGCGTTTCCAATGACCACATCTTCCTTTCGTCGCCTCCCCTACGCCTGGACAGAGATTATGAAAGACATGTACCCGGGCGTAAAGGGCCGCCTGGTCGACCTGTGTCGGTAGGTACTCCCGCATCCAGCCAATTCCACCAAAACTCCCGCATCCAGCCAATTCCACCAAAACTTCTCACTCAACTTTTCAACCTTCCTCCCACTACTCGCGCCACCCTGCCTGGTTCCCTCCTTCCCCTAGCCCCTCATCTCGTAAATTCAACCAAGCCGTGGCAGTAGCAGGCGGGCGGTTGATGGATGCCATCGTCACGGATACAAAACAGACAGCCTCCGAATGCATTCGGCATCTGCGGTGCGTGATGTCGTCAGAGGGAGGAGGAGGAAGACCCAGCGACACTAATAGAGGCATCGTTCCTGATCCTTTCCTGACACATACAGGGAGCAACGTGTCGGTGTCGCAGATTTCATCCCCCTGTCGGGCATCAAAGACAAGGTACCCGGATGCTTCCTTGTTTGTCTCGGTCCCGCCTTCTCGGTCGCTCCTCTGCTCGCTTTTTGAAAAGATGACTCCCTCTGATCTCTTTACCCTTGCCCTTGCCCTTGCCCTTGCCCTCCCTCACTCCTTCGCTGCTCCAGTCGCCCAATGAACGCTATCGGGCCCTGGGCGAAGCCTTTCGCCTGGCTGTGGATGTCATCGAGTGCGAAGACGAGATCCGGTGAGTGTCTTAGCCCCCCTCCTCCCCTCCTGGCTCCCATCCTTGATGCCCACTGGCTCCTCCCCACCCAATATCCGTGCCCAGCCCTGCTGTCGCTTACGCAGTGGGACCCAATACCGTCATCTGCGACTCGCTGGATGACGCTCGGCATCTCTGCTTTCGGAAGAATGAGAAGGTGAAGAACAGGCGCCAGCCGCGCCCCCCCCCCCCTCCAATCT